CCAGGCATCCTCCTCTCCCCTCTCCCCTCTCCCCTCTCCCCTCCCCTCCCCTCCCCTGAGCCTTTCAGGCGTCCTCTGCCCTCGTGACCATCTTCTCCCCTGGGCAAGGTGACGTCCAGGGCACCAGGTCTTCCTGCTCTGATCGCCCGGTGGTGGTCTCTCTGCAGCCGTGGGATTTGTGTGCTGCTGGCTAACTGCCAGGCATGAGCATCAGCAGCCCATGGATGCTGCCCCTCCGCCGTTAGGTGAGGAAGGTGCAGTCCTCGCTGCATGGGTGACACCTTAGAGGAGCATGTGCTGGGCAGCACAGGCTGAGCAGCAAGGCTGCTCCTGGCTGGCACAGGCAGAGGTTTCCAGGAGCTGAGTGTTGGTTTCTGACACCACTTGGCCATGTTCGGAGTTGTCGGTTTCTTAGATTCATGTTGCCCATTCCAGAAGTGGGGCTTTTGGTTTAGGTGGAGCCATCCCCAGGACTCGTGGCAGTGGCTCAGATGTTGTAGTTGCCTACAGAAGCCTCTGTGCCCCGGTGAGACCTTCACATAGCAATTTTACAGCTTCGCTGCCCTGAGGGGAACATGACCCTCTCTTTTTTTTTTTTTTTTAACATATTAACTAAGCTATGATAGGGACGAGGAAGGCACTGGCAAGAAAACGTTTTGGTTTCAAATAAAAATCCCCCTTTTAGCCCTTCAAATTGGAGCAAGACAAATCCTGGTTTGTGTGTTCTGTTTGGAATTGGTTAGAATCCCTTAGAAAGTGAAAGAACTATTTCCCAAATAGGGCTGGTATCAACCAAAGTCGTAAGGTGGTAATTATGACAGTAAGACTTTTGATTTGAAACAAAAAATCCTGAAAATGGCAAAAAGGCAGAATGGAGCACCCTCTGGGGTTCGTGATCTCTTGCTTGGAATTGATGTGATGAGGCTGCAGCAGGTAGGGTCCAGAGCCCATCCTGCCACCTGATGTGGAGGGGCCTGGATGAGGTCCTTGGCCAGCCCGAGCCTCAGTTTACCCATATGTAGGATAGGGATGATGCAAGGGTGACGTGAGGTCCTGCCTGTAAAGTGCCAAGCCCGATTCTGGTTGACGGTGAATACTCAGATCTGAGGTGTGGCTGCTATTCCCACCCCAGCCCCAGCCCATCCCTGGCAGATGAGGACCAGAAAAGTGACTGTTCCAAATTAAAGATACTTGTTTTAAGGGCTCTGGTTTTTAACTCTTTGGAAACCAGAAGCAGAAGTGGCAATGAAGAACGTTTTTCTAAATTCTTATTATCCTATTATTTAAAATAGCCCGTAGAGATATTAAATTCCAGGAGTACTGGAGGAACCTCGCAAACCCTCCTTAACCTTGTTTTCTGTGTCTTTGTTTCAACAAAAATATTACTTTGCCTCTTCTCCCTTATCCAGAAGTGAAGGTGAATATTTGAGTGCCATTCATGGGAGGAAGGCAACCACATGCAGCCCAGAGTGACTCTTGTTTTCCTTAAATGATTTGTGTGTGTGCTCACCTTAAAATGTAACTCAGTAAAACAGATGTGTTTTGAGGAATGACTCTGTTTAAATTACCCAGGTAAAAAGGTGACAGTTAAATTTCATGCAGTGTGTGCAGGTATCCAAAACCCCTTTCTGTGGCTGCGTGTGAGTTCATGTGACTTGTGGTTATTTTTGAATACAGAAAATGTGTTGTTGCTGAGGACTTCAGAGGGTGTGCTGGGATTGTGTAGGGTGGACATCAGGGGCTTCAGTGTGTGTGGTTTCCTTGGAGAGGTTTAAATTAAGGCTGAGTGTCCCTACTCCAAAATGCTCCAAAACCTGAAGTATTCTGAGCATCCTCATGACACTAGAAGGAAATGGTCTTTGGAGCGCTTTGGATTTCAGACTAGGGATGCTTTACCGGATAGTGAAATATTCCAAGACCCTTCTGGCCCCGGAAGCTTGGATAAGGACACTTGGCCGGTGCCAGGCATCCCTGGAGTGTGAGGCAGCCTGGGCTCACTAGACTGGCTTTTGTAGGAGCCACAGAACCGAAGAGGGTCAAAGTGGCCACACCTGGCTCCTGAGAAGGGTGGGGGGGGGTGGGCGTGGAGGGCCGAAGCGGAGTCCCCAGCGTTTGGGGTGCTGTCCCTGGTGGAATTGAGAGCCTCCTCCCAGTTGTGGCTCTGCCCTGTCAGCAGCCACTGAGGCCTGGAGGGAGCTGGGGAAGAGGGGTTGAGGAATCGGCCTCCTGCTTTTGGAGAGGGCCTGTGCTAGCCTCCTGTGTTACTCCTGCATCCAAGGTGCATGGCCATGCCTCTTGTTGCGGTTTCTGCTGTGCTTTCAGCAGTAACAGCTTTGTCTCCAGCCCTTGGCAGCAAGTTCCCTTTTTTTTTTTTTTCCTGTGAAAAGAGGTAGAAAATTTTATGGAAATGCATTTGACCACTGTTTTTGCTGGAATGTCTGTTTTCCGATATGACATGGTGCACTTAGGCTAAATCTGAAAGTAAATATCTCCTAGTGAGCCTCATGAGTAAAGTGCAGTTCATACATATTTAAAGCAGGTAGATTTAGGGACACGGAGCATCCCGGTGAGGGCGAGTTTTCCACTAACTCTTGGAATGGAAGCTGTAGTGTTGGGTGCTTTCACGTGAGATCAGCGAGGCCATGCTCACATCCCTGCCTGCCTGAGCGGCCTCCCTTCTGTTACAGCGTTTGCTGGGGTCTGCATGGGCTGCCTGATCTTTGCTGTTACCTTTTTCACACGTGCCTTTTTATCAAATACTAGAATAAACTCAACCTCACATACTTTGTGGGGAGAGAGAAAAGTATATCTGGGATCTCTTTAGTTATATGTTGGAAAATAAATTTGGTCAAAATACTTCTGCATATGCATGCTTGGTGGGCTGGGGTTCCCTGCCTCACCCTGAGGCACATTTGCACATTTTGATTTAATCTTGGCTCTATGGCAACAACACTATAGAAGATGGTTATGACTTGTTTTTCAAAATCTAGAAATAAACATATGATTGGAATCATAATCTATTGAACTTCTTTGTAAAACCTGATTTGAGCTATCATTTTTCTTGGTATATTTTGTTAACAATTTCATTTTTAATTTAACATGGCATAAAACAAATGTAACAAATATTTAATTGAAACTCAGATTTAAAAATTAGTATCTTATCAACATACTGCTTCACCAACTTTATTCTCATTAATAGTTCTATTTTCTCTGAGTGCAGCATAATTGTTATAAAATTAAGAAAAAGTTTGGGTATGGTGTCTCGTGCCTTTAATCCTAGCACTTTGGGAGGCCAAGGCAGGAGGATCACTTGAGGCCAAGGAGTTCAAGACCAGCTTGGGCAACATAGCAAGACCCCATCTCTATAACAACAGAAACATTAGCTGGGCATGGTGGTGCGTGCCTGTGGTCTTTGCTACTCTGGAGGCTGAGGTGGGAGGATCACTCAGGCTATAGCGAGCTGCGATTGCTCCACTGTGCTCCAGTCTTGGCAACAGAGCCATGACTCTGTCTCGGAAAGAAAAAGGAGAAAAGACAAAAATCTCCAGAAATGTCTCGTTTTCTTTTTTAATCATCCCAAAGAGAAATCAGATTTTTCTAATAATGTGAAGGGTAACTGATAAGATTCTTTTCTTGCATGGTTTTTCCTTTGCAAATATTGACAGTATTCTCTCCACCTCATCTGTGGAAACGAGATCGTTTCAAAGCAGCAGGCGTCTTCGAGGTTGGTGGTGGTTTTGTGTTGCACCTTGGGGAACAGTCAGCATGCAACCCTTTGCCACGATCGTGCGCGTCGTAAGTCCCAATTAAAATCATCTCCAGAGACGCCTATGTGGCTTATTATAGCAGAGCATGTTCATTCAGGTAGTGGTTTTAGCTTCATATCTGAGATTATTCTGTGCAATTCATTAAGCATATGGGATAAGTAATGATTTAAGATAATTCTGGCTGATATCATTTAGAGGATATTATTTTTCACTTCAAGTTAAAACTTCCTTCGTGATAGTCATTTTGTGATTCATTTAAATATGAGCTTTATTGCATAGCTCAAGTTTTCATTAGTCATTTCATAACAGAATTTTGAAAGCAGATGTGGCAGAATATTTCTAATAAATTGTTGACTTATTCAGGTGATTTACAACGTCCTGAGGAACACTCAGAATTGCTGGTAATTGTGGTACGTGTTAAGGCTGATGATAGAAGTCACTGGATGAATGATAAGGGCTTCATTGCAAGGCAAATGGGATTTGAACCCCGACCTCCTGATGTGCCAGCCCTGACCATGGCCTCTGTCCTTTCCACTGGGCGACAGAAGCACCAGCGTCTACCTCACAGGCTGTCCTGAGAACCCTGGGCCAAGGGCTGTGTTCCTCTTGCAGGTGGCACAGATGGGAGCTTAACGATACACACAGATGCACACGCTGCAGGCCACCAGTTCCGGCTCACCCAGTTTTATTCAAAAGGTGGGATTTGCTTTGCTCACCTGGAGACCAGGTGCGGTGCTGCTGTCGCAGCAGGTGTGTGGATCGTCCTGGGTGGTCCTCAGGTGGACAAGGAGTCACCAATTCCGATTCCCAGGGTTAGATGTGAGGGGCCCACTGACCTCCTGTGTTCAGAGGTGGGGGAGTAAAAAGCTTCCCTTTCAATCCCAGGACTGTGTAAGCATGCATGTGTATGTGTTCTGTGTGTGGGGGTGGTGGGGAGTGTATTTTGTGTGCATGAAGTGCATACATGTGTAATGTTTGTAAGGTATGTGGTGAAGGGGGTGGGGTATGTATGGAGTAAGCGTGCACATGTGTGTTCTGTGTGTGTGTGGTTTCTACCCGTTCCCCGCCCTGGGTCTGCGCCTGGGCCCTGCTGTCCTGGCAGCTTTACAGTTTGGTGTGTTTTTTTGATTCTGGAAATTCTGGAACCAGACTCTAAGCTGTGATCACACACTTGCAGCCCTGGAGCGGGGGCTTCTGCCTCCCTCTGGGACTGGAGGATGCTGGCCCCGTTTGACACGCACAGGGGTCTCTGTGCTGGCCTCTCCCTGGGCGCTGTCCACAGCAGAGTGCGTCTGATTCTGAGCTGTGCGGGTCCATGGTTTCCCCACCTTGAGTCAGCCCTCGTTCTCTGTCCCGCCTCTGTTTTCTGCTGGGGGGCTCTGGGAAGTGGCGCCTGGGACAAGGCTTTCACCCGGGGGACAAGACTTCATCAGCTGCCCAGGTGTCGGTTGCCCGAGCCCTGCTGCTGTCCTGGGCAGACAGCTGGCAGGGGGAGGGATGTCCCTCAGCACCTGCAAGAAGGCAGGTTTGGGAAGTGCTGGAGGTGAGTGGTTTCCCCCTAGACACGATTTTCTGGAAAGTTCTGCCCCTCACATTTTTCTCTAAGGGAAATTAGAAACTGAGTTGCTCTTTAGGGGAACGTCTTTGTAGCATCTGTCTGCTGTCTGAGTATCCTCCAGGTGTGTAATATGCAGGGCCGCGTGTGTTTGGGGACATCGTCTCCTGAGTGGTTTTAGTAGGGAAGCCTCTTTCAGCTTGGCCTCTGTTTCCGGCTTGTGAGGGAGAGGGTCCCAGGGAGAGTAAAACAGGGTGGCGTGGGAGGGGAATGCTCCACCTGACAAGGTCCTCGGGAAAGTGTCCAAACAAATGTCGCTGTTCTCCGGGCTCTTGGAGTCGAGGTTGTTGAGGGAAAGCTACCCTTGTTCCTCACCATTTGAATGCTGTCCAGGGCCTGTTCCACTGGAAAGGGGGTGTGCGTGAGTGAGTGAGGGTCAGGTCACAGACTCCGAGATGATTTGGAACCTGTCAGCTGGTTTCCTAAAAACACAGATGCTTGTAAAGATGTTCCTGATTAGCAAAAACATTTCAACAGGACATGTCAGCTGGTGGTTGTTTTTTAAAAATGATCACAATTTTCCTGTTACTTTTTAAATGCCTGTTGAATAGGGGAGGATTCACATATATTTTTCTTTTCCTGTCTGGGTACTTGATTTTTGTTTTCAGTTACGTGGCCGTGCGGGTAACAGGATTTAGAGGCAGTCCTAGCACTGGGAGGCTTCAGGGCAGCCTCAGAGTCAGTGTTGAAGGGGATGCAGGGATTTGGGGGCCACCTCCTCCATAGGACAGACACCAAGGACCAGAGGTTGGTGATCTCAGTGAGGTCACGAAGACGGGCACCCCCAGAACCCCAGCCCCTGTGCTTCTCTCCTTCACGTGCGTCTCTGCTCAGAGCTGCTCTCCTTCCGGGTAGTCGTGGGCGATCTCAAGACTTCATGTTTTTGGCTCACATCAATATTGGGCAGTAGTGTTTTTTTGTTTTTTTGGAGTGATAATTGGGTGGATTTTGGCTTTTCTAACTCATTTAATACCTGTTTCTGTGTCAGGTGTTCTCTGCTAGTTAGAAGGAGGGTGAAAGTGGTGGAATCACTTCCAGCTGTTGGCCACCTGCCGAGAGCTGTGTTTGGCATGCACAGATCTGTTTTGGCACAATCTCATGAGCAGCCAACGGCAGTGCAGAAAGTGAGGCTCAGGTGAGTCTGTCAGAGACAGAAGGGCCCACTTCGGTCATGTCTCTGCTGCCCTGACCTGGGTGCTTTCAGCCTCTGAGCTGCCCCTCTCCTGACTGCTTACAAAGTTTTCAATACTGAAATCTGCGCATTGAAAATTCACTAGGGGAATGCCATTTCTGGGGATCTTACTGTGAACCCTCTGTAAAGAGCCCTAGGTAGAATAATGAATTACCTTTAATGTAGGTACCAAAAAGTTTCCCTGGGATAATTCATTGCATATAAACTTTTAAAAAATGTTGTTCTCAATTAGCTATCCTATGTGTTGTCTTTCTACTAAGAGAGGTGTTCCGCTCCCCTGTGTGTTTTTAGCAGTATGCTGTGTCTACTTTGCATGTGCTTGGGTGTTCCACGTGCTTGTGGGCATGAGCAATACGCCTTGTCTGCCACGCACACCTCGGCATTTCAGAAGAAAACCGTGTTTACAGATGCACTTTGAGTATAATACTTTTTCCTGTTAGTGTGTTTATAATGGCGAATGTTCCATTGGTGGAGCTCTGATCGTGCATTTCTGTGTGTGTCGTGGAGAGTAAAGGTAGTCACTGAATTTTGCAAACCTAGAAGATGCCCAAGTGGTGAGATATGTGAAAATATATGGCAGCTGTCATAAATTACCTGTATTATGTGTGGCAAAGTGCTCTGTGTGTGTGTTTTGTTTATGGAGAAAATTAGTCTTCCCAATTTTCCCAAGAGGTAATACTTGAATATGCATTAGAAATTTTCTTTTTTGAAAATGGTACCTACCTTCCATTGTTTTGAGACTATACCATAGGAACTCACATATATAATCCTGTTTTCTCAATCAGAAATTCTGAGAACCTCCCGGTTTTCTCAAAGCCCTTTGTCTCGTTAAAGTGTTTGGTTCCACTTTATCTAAAGCAGGAAGAGGTTGACCATGTGGCCTCACTGGTGATTCCGAGCACCGGGCCTTGTAAGGATGTGAACACTTGGTTTGGAGACATGTTGTTCTTCCTGATAGAAACCCTATCACATTATTCTCTAGTCTCCTGTGGTTTTTCCTCCACCCTAACTCATCCAGTTTCTGTTTGTTTTTATATTTTTTGAGACGGGGTCTTGCTCTGTTACCCAGGCTGGCATGCAATGGCGTGATCCCGGTTCACTGCAGCCTGGACCTCCTTGGCTCAAGCGATCCTCCCACGTCAGTCCCCTGAGTAGCTGGGACCTCAGGCGCGTACCACCATGCCTGGCTAATGTTTTTTTCTTTGTAGCAGGATGGGGTATTGTTGCCCAGGTGTGGTTCTGTTTTATGGCAGGTGTACAGTGGGTTTTTACAGAGAACCTCTGTATTTATTTGGGTTGGGTGCACAAAGTCCTGGTCAGGGAGCTGCCCTCAGGCTTCCTTCCTGCCCAGCAGGGTCATGAGCAGTATCTCCACCTGGCTGGTGTGTGCACTGGCCAGTAGGGCTTAACCCTGGGCCACAGACCAGTACCCATCCATGGCCTGTTAGGAACCAGGATTGTAGCAGGTGGTGAGTGGCGGGCGGACGACCATGACCATCTGAGCCCCGCCTCCTGTCGGGCCAGTGGCGGCCTTAGAGTCTCATAGACGTTTGAGCCCTGTTGTGAACTGTGCATCAGAGGGGTCACGTAGGTGCTCCTTATGAGGATCCAGTGCCTGATCCAAGGTGGACCGTTTCATCATAAAACCACCCCCAGACCCCACCTGTGGAAGAATTGTCTTCCACAAAACTGATCCCTGGTGCCAAAAAGGTTGGGGACAGCCGACCTAACACATGCTAAGATGTTGGGAGATTTTTGGACTCAGGCCTCAACTGGAGAGGATTTGATTTTCAAAGGTGGGGGTTTGAAGGCTTCTAAAGCACAGGTTTTCATCTCCAGTGGGGCCTGGGTAGAACCAAGTAGAACCGCCCTTAGAACCTGATAAGAAGTCAGCCCTGGCTCACTGCCTACGTCCTGTGGTGTGGCCTTGCTGTTTGGTGGATTCCATCTGCAGCCTCAAACAGGAATGCAATGCATAAGGCTTAGCTTATTTAACTTTATCAAAAGGACCTGGAAATCATTTAATGTAAATCTTCAGATATTTATATCTTTTCTTTTTCCAGAGGCTTTTAAATATTGCAACTTAAAATTCTTTTAAAAATAACTTGGGGGGACGATCCAAGATGGCCGTTTAGGAACAGCTCAGGATTGCAGCTCCCAGTGAAAGCGCAGAGGGTGAGTGGACGCCGCGTTTTTGTTGCCCACAGACTAGGAAATTCCTGGGCGGAGGAGCTCCATGGTCACCAGCGCGGCTGTTTTGGCCAGCCGCTGCTTTGCCCTGCACGGCTGCTTTGTCAGCGCCCCGGAGCCGCGGTTCTCCGTACAAAATACACCAGTCCAGGTGCCCTTTTGGCTGGCGATTGGAGCCACGGGAAGTCACCCATTTGCCGGTTCTAAAAGGGGACTGAGCAGAGAACCAGGACAGTAGATTCCAGGG